TATATATATATATATATATATATATATATATATATATGTTGTGTTAGTGTTTAGTTTTTGGCTTTAGAATTTCCTTCCGTTGGTGCATTTTCCCTTTCTAGGGCTGTTTCCAAGGGCTGGTGATGTTCCGATTGTATCCTGCTCCAAGGTGGTGATTACTTTTGCTTATCCCCTTCCCCTCCCTCTTCCTGCTCTCTGTCGTGAACTGCCCAACCAACTGCTTGTTGCCGTGAACCCAGCCAGCCGACTGCTTGCTACGCCTTCCATGCGCACCCTTCCTTTGCTGCTACTCACCTCTCCTGCACCCTCTTATTCCCGGCCGCCAACCTCTTGCCCCTACCTTTGCTGCTGCCTACCTATCCAGCACCCTCTTACTCACAACCTCCACCTTCTAGCTCCTTTACCGCACCTACAAATCCCCGTTCCTACTATCTCAGCTGCAGCCACTCCACTTTTCGTGAACGCCCTTGGGTGTTGTTTGTGTTTGTCTCATTTTGTTCCTATTTTAAGAGTCATTGTTGTAATCCCTCTGAATTTCAGCAATAATATTGCGTTTCCATTGCAAATTCAGCTAACTTTGGTATCAAAATATTTGCCAAATTGAGTGCAACTGAAATTAGAACGTCAATGCAAATTTTGCTGAACTAAAAAAAAAATGATAGATTTTGATGTTGCTATATGAGAGAGAGAGTTGTAGTAGTATGTATTGAAGACCAGATACTGAAAAATAAATTTATATTCCTTGATCGTATACAAATCATAATATGGGCATATCAAATTTTATCAGACAATTTAGAAGGAAAATGTAAACCAAAATAACATGGATATATAAGTTGAGCAAAATAATTGCACAGAATAGACTTTTCATCTCTCGCAACATTACAAAGAATAGAGAATGACAATTTACTATGCTAAGCTAAAATAGATAGGATAAGACTAACAATGATTAGATCTTATTCAATATCAATTTAGTGAAATGATATTCATTATTTCTAGATGTGTTTCAAACTTCCTTGTTAAAAATGCCACAAATATAAAAAATAATAAGTTTGTTTGATTGTGAACTTACCCAATTTAAACATTAGAAATGTAGTGGAACTAGGTTCTGAAATAAAGTTCTGACTGGTTAAAAATTAATTATGTTTGCGATATTGTGGAGTGCTTTAATAATTTCTTGACAGATTTTGTAATTGTCTTCAATTCTATAGAGGTTCAAAGGCGCTTGCAGACCTTCATTTCCATGGTTCTCAGCTCTTTCCAAATTGTTATTGAAAAGAAAACCTAATATTGATTGGTTAGCTGCTGTTTAATTGGGTTAGAAAGTTAACATTATGGAAAAGCGCAACAACAAATACAATTGGACTTGCATGGATTTAACAGATCTGGATTCAATACATTTCACGTTGTGTGCGTGTGCTCGCACACAAACACTAGTGACTTGGTTGGGAAGTTTTTTTTTTTCCCCTCAAGTTTTGTAAGTGTGGTGGTCGCAATGTTCAAATACACACCTAAAACTGGTTCTTTTGGAATTCTTTTTTTGTTCATCTCAATAAGCCTTGTTGGTGGGTATCTTGTTCCATCCAATAATAAACAAACAATAATTTTTGTTCATTGCTAGCATTGAACATCCACTAATAATCTTTTTTCTTAGCCCTTATATCATGGAAGGAATAGGGGGACAAAGATAAATCATCATATTTAAATTTTATGTTGCTTTGTTTTTCTGATGTTAGATAAACACTCACATTTGAATTTATATGCACCTTGGTGCTGTTTAACTAAATTGTTCCCTTTTAATATACCCTTTGTATGGCATGACATTTCCTCTTGACATTTGTGTGAAACATAGGTTTATGATCAATAATTAGTTGTTTTTTTTTCTCTTTTACAGTATTTACAAAAAAACATGCAGGAAAAATATCATTGAAATTGGACTTCGATTTCAAGTTCATCAGTTCAAATGCTGATTACATAATAAGCTTACTTTTCAACAAATTTTTAATTTTTAGTGTAGATTGTAGGATATGAAAGTTATGAGTTTTATAAATTTTCCCTTTTCATGTTTTGTTTTGTTATTAAAAATTATAAATGTTAGAAAAACATATTGAATATACTGTAGCATAATAAAAGGCAGCTATGCCATAATCTTTCAGACCTGTATATTCCTTTAACTTGTGAGATTGAAGAACTGCTGTTAAATTTGTGAAAAATACACAATCATTAGTTTATCTTAGCATAAACTTTTACCTGTTTTTTGCATTGACAAATGTCCTTTTCCAATTCTTCAATCCTATGATTTAGATTCTTATCCTCTTGTTCCTCTTGTAGAAATAATGTTCTTGTTTCCTCTAGTTCAGTGTTCTTAAACATCAGATTTGCCTATCAGGCAGAATAACCAAGCTAACTCTAAGCCTATTGAATACAGATATAAGATTATTATGCTTATTATTGAATTTTCAGCAATACCTCAAGAAGTTTAATTTTCTCACGCAAAACTGTAACTTCCTTAGAGCCTTGGGATGCTGAGCCAGGTTTATGAGTTTTGTTTCTTGCAATTGCTATCTTCACATTTGCTATTGCATTTGTAGATCTTGCATTTTCTTCATGTTTTTTCTCAAGAATAGTAATTTTCTCTTCCCTTTTCCCAAGATCACTTTGGAAGTGAAAAGCCTGTTTTCTTAAATCATTATCGATCTCATCCCTAACAGCCAAACTGTTTGAGCCTTTAGATCGTTCTTTAAGGTTATCAATCTCATCCCTAACAGCCAAACTGTTTGAGACTTTAGATCCTTCTGTAAGGTTCTTAACTTCAGAGTTTAGATCTTTTATCATTATATCCTTGTCTTTCACTATTTTCTGCAGTTTTTGCTGATCTTTCTCTGAGTTTTCAGCTTTTTCCTTCATTGAAGCAACTTCGCTGTTAAGTATCTCTTTTTCCAGGCTTCTCTGGTGCAATTTTGTCTCAATTTCTTTATTAAACATTTTCAACTGTTCTATCTCTTCTAGTGATCTGTGTTTATGTTCTATATGTTCAGAAAGTTGAACTTTTTCTTCTGACAGTGTTTTGACCTTATTTTCTAGCATTAGAATTTCTTCTGTTAGGACTTTTAGTTTTGCTTCCTTAGATTTCTTTTGATTGTCGTTCTCCACAGACTTTGCTTTGAGGTTCTCTAGCAACTTTTCAATTTCTTTTGTTTTGGAGTCTACGGAGTTTGATAATTCCATGAGTTTCACATCATACACTTGCTGCAACACTGTGAACTCTTCTTTAGTTTGCTTGAGCAGGTTTTCCAGATAACATTTCTGTAAGTGCATTTCATTGCCTTCAGCCAGAGCCTGAATTGCTAGCTTCTCATTCATGTGAAATGCAGAAGATATTTCCCTAGCAACTGTTATAAACTCCTCTTGAAGTCTCTCAGCAATAATTGCATTATTTTTTATTGTCAACTGTAGTCTCTCCTCTGCTTCTTTGGCTCTCTTCTCTTCCTGAAGCCTTGCTTTCATGATATTTTCTAGATTAGCTTCATAAGCTTTAGACTGTTCCTCAATCTCTTTTTTCAAGTTTCTGATTTCATCCTCAAGGTACTTGTACTGTTCATTATCACCATCTGAAGTAGTCTCAAACAGCTCTTTACATTTGCTTACCTGCGCATGTGAATTTCTTGCATGTAAGTTTATTTCTGAAATATTAAGTTCTGTATGGTGTTTGATTGCGATTTTGCCACAGTTTATACATATAGTTTCTTTATTTTCCTGTTCCAGCAGTTCCTCCAGATCATGCACTGCAAGAATCAATTCGGAGTTTGCTTCCTGCATTTTGTGCAGCTGCAAACGGAGATTTGCATTTATGCCTTTTTCATATTGCAGCTCTTGTTTTATTTCTTCAATAGCTGGGGGTGTTTTGTTGTGAGGATGTAACTTATTTGAATCATCTTGATTATCAGTCTTCTTTTGAGTTGCTTTGAGATTTTCACATGCTCTTTTAAGTTCATCTCTCTCTCCTTTTAGGCTATTCAATTTTCTCAGAAGTATCTCCCCATAATTACTATCCGTTGTGACTAAATTCTGTAATTCTAACTCTGATAATTCCAGCTCTTCGGTCTGTGTTATTGATTGATTTCTATATTTCTCAATCTGTGCACTTTTTTCTAGCGCACTCTCAGGAGCTGAAATGAGAATCCAGTCATTTGTTGATTTCTGATGATCATTATATTCCGCTATCAAATAATCTAAAATTGTATGCTCCTTTTTATATGTTTCATTGCTGCTCAGGAGTGGCTTTGAGGTGCTTGAGTCATCAAGTGAATCCGGGCTTATGGATTCATTTTCTTTTGATTTATGTTGTCTTGTGCTATCAGAGCTTGATGTCGATATGGTGCTGGAGCTGCTATACTGTTCAATATATACGGAAGATTCAGTTTGGAGATAAACAGTCCTTTTGGAAGGGAATCTCTTTTTTTCACTGGTGGTTGCAGAAAATCCATGCTGCAGGTGATTACGATAATGTAAGTAAATTACTGATATTATATGTTGATGGAAATGAAAATTATCATAGGATGGAGTTGCCTATTGCAATGCCGCTAATTTTATTTCCAGTAATTGCTGTAGCAGAAATAATGAGAACAAATTATAAGAAATAAACTTCAATGAAGGTAAAGTTAGAGATTAAACATGTATTTCTAGTGATTCTGAATTAACTTAATATTATAATACAATCAAATCATGATTATCATGTGGAATTCTGTGGAACAGGTAGGGTTTTTTTAAGAGTTTATGCAAATATATTGGATTTCCTGTAGGATCAAATTCAATAACCTTTCCAGATTATGGTGTCATGAGCAAAAGCAAAGAGAATGTCGTGATTTGATTAACAAATGCCTTAATTAGAATTTATTGTCATCATACTTTCCTTCAATCTTGTTACTATTTCTTAATTCTTAAACGTTTTGCTTGTAACTAGACTTTTACTTCACTTGAGCTCACATTTCTCAGGGCTGCTGCTCTTCTATCTCCATCCCACTTTAATCCATGCTTCTTTTTTGTCAACAGCTCCATGGAAATTGCATCTGTGAATTCTTCGGATCCTCTGATCACATAAAACAGCGTATAAAATAATAAATGTTATTTAAGAGGATGACAACTTATTCATAAAACTCCCATTATTCCGAACAGCCTCTTACCTTACCTCTAGATCTAAATGCATTCTCTGAATTGTTACCTGCCATTTTTAATAAATCATCAATACTATACGAAATCTTTCTATTTACCTCATAAAATTACAAATATTTCATTTATATCCATACAGTCAAACGCTTTAGAGACTTACATGCAGCATAACTCCAGATTTTGTAGGTTTGAGTGGAAGAGAAACAAAGGCAGGTTTAACTGCATCAAAATAATCTGACAAATTAATACCAACTTCTCCTACAATTGCAGTTGTCACTGATCCCTGTTTGGACAATTTGCAGAACTGTGGTTAGAACATCAATAAAAAGTCTTTTCATAATATTCAATTTCGCCATCACATAACATACATTTGCTGACACGACAAAATTGTAGAGCTTATCATGGATTCTTCCTGTTCTTGGATCCTGGAAAAGTTTCACTGTTTCGTAAATCGGATTCCTCCAATAACAGTTTCCGCCGATAGCCAATACCTTATCTGTTTTCATGGTTGCTTTTCCAATATCTAATGGAACAAGAGACACCATCATGATCTGCCATCCCAGATTGTCAACCTACAGACAAGTATAAAAAGTAGAATGCGTTCTTTATTTCATAATATAAATTAGAATTACAACTTTCATTCATCTAATGGATAACTGTACAGAATGCAGTAATGGGAGTCAGGTAAGGATTGAAGATGGAATACCTGGTTTGCATGGAATCGCAGCTTGAACACAGCTCTGATCTTGTTGTTTTTGTCATCCGTCAATCTTGTTTCCTTGTACATTGTTGTTTGCTCTGCTTTTTCTATTGGCGGAGAGGTGCTTTAGTCTTCCTTGGGAAGGTCATTACCTTCTACAATGGAGTTTTCAGTTGTGTGAGAGCGAGAGAGAGGAAATTGGCGAGGGTTTGTGGAAACGGCAGGAAGAGAAGGAAACGGAGAAGAGAATTCATTCAATTGTTGTCTTCATTTTAAGTGTGGGGGTTTTAAAGGTGAGTTATAACAGGCGGCAAAAAGGAAGCTTATCTGCAATAAATGTAATGCAAAGTGGGAAGACAATCTGAAGTGAGATGGTGTTTGCGGGCGCATCATGTGATCCTCATACCACACATTTCTCATGTATTACGTATCTAACACCTATACATTCATATTTGCTTGCATGCCACTCAAAATTTCATGCATAGGTAAAGTGTTGCGCATGTAAATATTGTAGTTTAGATGTGAGATACATACCACACAATTTATTGGAAGCCGGGTATGGTTTTACTGCGCTTATACTCCAGCAAGAAAAAAGCTTTCATTCCTTTCATCCGAAGATGCTTACGCTGCAATCCTATTGCGAGACATCATTGTTTTCCTCTGTAAATAAGCAGATATGTAAGATGGCAGACATGTAAAAATTGAAAATTACATATTAGATGTGTATTTACAAAGGAATTAAGTTGCCTGTATGTATATCTTCCTTTATTATAACATAGCTCATGAAATAACTTGCATTTACCAGTTGGGTGTGGATTTATTAGACTTTCATGTAGCTCAGATTGGTCTAAAACACCATTAAAGTTCAAATTTATAGTACATAAATAAACTAAAATGCGAGTATTTGTCTGTTGAAATGTAGCTATTTTTGATGCAATTTTTGAGGTTGTGGGAAGCATGTGTTGGTGTTCCCTCGTTGTCCGCTATTTCCGTAGGACATTGCTTGACTTGATGACATAAAAGATTAGTGGATGGGTTTCTTAAGTTGAAAATAATGCTCGTTGTCTCTGGCTTGGCTCATGTTCGGTCGTTCTAAATAGCTCGTGTTCGAAATCGGCTCGTGTTCGAAATCGGCTCGTGAACAGTGTGTTCGTGTTTGGCTCGTTTTAAATATTCGTGTTCGTGTTCGGCTCGAAATTGGCTAGTTAAACTAAAATTGAGAAAAATAGATGTAAAGTGTGGGATTCAAACCTGGATCAATCTATACAAAAGAAGACACTAACCACATTGTCACATGAGGTATTATGATTTAAACTTAGACATAAATATATCTAATATATTATTATATAAGTAATATATGTAATATATTGTTATATAAAAAGTTATATAATTTTTTTTTTCGAGCCATTTCGAGCCGAACACAAGCAAACAAACTGTTGTTCGTGTTCGCCTCGTTTATATTTCGAGCTTAAAATTTTGTTTGTGTTCGGCTCATTAGACTTAACGAATGAGCCGAACACGAGCTGCTTAACGAGCTGAACACGAGCTGTTCACGAACAACGAGCCAAATTGACAGCCCTACTAGTTGTATGCTAGAATGTTCATAACATTGGAGTAAAAAGGGTTTTACATCTTAATTTTTATATAAAAATTTGGTACACTGATGAAAAATAAATTGCAGCAGATGTTATATTTCTCACATTAAATATTTAAAAATGAGAAAAATCATGAGGTGGAAGTCAATTGAAATAATCCATTAAGTATTTAAAATTTTAGAAGTTTGTTTTTTTTTTAATGATTGGAGAAGATAGAATTATAAAATTAGGAGTGAAGGGATGGTAGCGATCAGATGATGTTAATGGGTTGATGACGAGCAAAAGATAATGTTTGGAAGATGGGGATATTACAATGACAACGGTCAGACGTAGTGGTTGGACGATTAGTATTTGATGATGACAATTGGTCAGATCATAGTGGTTGGATGCTATAGTTGTTAGTGTTGATTGTTGATATTGGATATATGATTAAGGTTCTTCAAATCTTTAAGTTCACTTTAAACTCATTTCTATGTTTCTTTTATATGGTGAATGTGATTTTATGTATAATTTTTAAAGACATTTGGGTTATTTTAGGCAATTTCAAGATATTCTATCGGATGATTCGTTAATTTTTTTCATTATACATAATTGTCATAGTGATCTCAAAGTTGTTTAATTTTGGGTTCTTTAGATGCCTCTTGTGAGATGATTGATTAACCATATAACTAAGATTTTAATATTTCTAGCCAAATTTAAAATATCTTTTTTGTCTTTATTTGACTCAAATTAGATCACTTTTGATGTTATTAGGTTTAATTTTGTAGGGCATTTAGTTTGATGAAAAATTTGTTAAAATAAGAGAAGATAAGATTATAAATTTTAATTTAAAAATTTTATTAAAATTTATGTTGTAGAAAAGGCTTTAAAGATATGTGTACTTGTGTTCGAAGAAAAATAAATTATTTTAAGGTAATGTTATAATTAAAGGACAAATAAAATGAACATTTAAAAGAAAATTAATAAGAAATCAGTTGATATTAAATGCAGAATATAAGTTTTAAAATATTTTTAATAAATTAAAGATTTTTTTTTTTGAATTTTAATATAATTTAAGTATATTTTTTTATTTATTATTTTTCAAAGAGCTGGCTCATAAGCTAACTGGCTTGAGCTTGGCTTTTTTGTTAGCTCATCGAGCTCAGTGCACGAGCCACTTATCGAGTTGAGCCTGGTCAGTTCACGAGCCGGCTTGACTCATTTACACCCATACACCAAACCAAATACCTTCAGGAATTATAACACAAAGCTGACATGGAATACTCCAAACAAGTACTCAGTCCACTTCCTACCAAAGCGTGACTCCATCCACACTACTTTTAATACCACAAAAATACATACAATTCATTGGATCTCTTCAATATCTAACTCTCATCATACTAGACATTAGTTTCATCGTCAATCTACTTAGCTAGCACATGCACCAACCAACCTCCCACCACCTTCAGTCCCAAAACGCCTCCTTCCCTATCTCGAAGGAACAAGCATACACAAACTACAAATTACCCCAAGCTTGGTTCACCAACAAGCCTCCACGACTGTTGATTGGGCAAATTACCCCATCGCTCCACCTTTGAATTTTTTTTGTATTTTTAGGATTAGCTCTCATGTCTTGATCATCAAAAAAACAAACAACAGTGTTGCGATCCTCCACCAAGGTGAAATTTTGTTCCCTAGCCACCATAACCTCAGAAATACTTGAGCTCCATCGCCCCTTTCTGAGAGTTCAAAGTGATCAACTTACCCACACAATTCTACTGCAACAACACCTCAGTCATAGCCCTAGTCAACAAACCAATATTTTATGCACACATAAAACATCTTTAAATCAAATACCACTTCATTAGGGTCCACCTCAAGATAAGGGAACTCAACATTCACCACATCATGACAAAAAAATCAAACTGCTGACATCCTCACCAAATTACTTCTGATTGCCTGACATCAACACCTCACCAACATGCTGACAATCATCTTTGCCAACCATTAGCTTGAGAGAGGGTGATATAACCAAGCAATATTCTCTTACACCACACTAAGATATAAATTGCCATATGCAAAAATGTTTAATTAATGATAATCTTAAAATGGTCAACACTTCAGAGGAATCGCATGAATCTATACTTTATATATATATATATATATATATATATATCTATAATGATAATTGATGATTAATATGTGGTTGTGATATAGACTGTTATGGCTAACAATGGCAAAAGGTGCCATTTGCTTTCTGTGTTAATTGCACGAAGAAGAAAGACGGAAAGTGAAGTTTTATAACTTATTTAATAGAACTAATGATTAATGCATGCCATATCTAAAGTTTTATTAACTCTATTATAATTACCATCTAAGTTTATTTAAGTCACTAATAATTATCTTGTGAGGCTTATGATTATGAGGCCATATATGACTGAGAGGGATGATTTTTTATTGAATCATTATTCATTTCTTAATCAAAATTTAATATTATTACCTTCAAATGTGAGGTTAAATTCATACATTCTATTAATTTTTTAATGATTATATACTATATATATATATATATATCAGTGGATAATTTTTGTATTTAATATAGATTTGTTTAGCTGTCTTATTCGCTAGAGGCGTGGAGGCATCAATCAGTTCGGTTTTGTAAACAAACAATATATCTTGGCTTTGGCGAGCATTCCATAATTAGTTATGGCCTTGACGTTATTATGGCTCGACTGGCAACGAGTTTTAATCATTATTAATTTAAAAAATACAAAATTGCGGCATCTCATAAAGACAAGATTAACGGTCCGTTTGGGATAGTTTATTTGATGCGGTTGCGTTTTGAAAACGCACCTGATCTGTTTGGGTAAATTGTATTTTGGTAGTTTATGCGTTTTCAAAACGCTGAAAACAGCGTTTTCACACCGCACCTATCTAGGTGCAGTGAGAGCGGTCTGGCTTTTCCAAAAAAATAAAAATTTGTAATAGTCATCTCAACTAATTTATCAACAGATTATTTTTAATCAGCGTATCATCAGATTATTCAATAAGCTACAACTATCCCAAACAGACCCTAAATTAGCGCAAGCAGTATTTTTTTTGTTCGTTAACAATTAAAAAAGATTAGTTGCAATAAAAAGCCCACAACACTTATTACGTCTTGTCACGTGGGCCCCAATTAGGAGAAAAATTTACTTTCGTACGTCAGGGAGGTTATTCCGAGGGTATTGAAGGGTTATATCCGTTTATACCTCCTGCAACATTTCAGTAACTTACAAATATATAAAAACAGATGCGCTTAGAAGATATAAGTAGATTACATGTGAGTTACAGGAATGTTACAGGGGTATAACGCGAATATAACCCCCCAATACCCTCTGAATAACCTCCCTGACGTACGCAGTGCTGCGTACGTCTTATGTACACAAAATTTTCTCCCCAATTAGAGGGGTATGCATGCATGCCACTCAAAGTTGCCTATGTATACACACACATAGATGCATATCACTAAAATATACATATATAACATGTATATAAAAGATATATTTTACTTTTTAAATATTAAAATAACAATATTTTCAATGTGATATGTAAAAATTAGGTGATATAAATATGAAAATTTAAAATTAGGTGCTAACATACAAATACAAAAGAATTGAGTGGTATGTCTATAATTGTCCTTTATAAATATAATATAAATATAATTTAAATAAATTTAGGTTTTATTGTCTATATTTATCAACGTTCTGAATTTGAAAATCTCTCAAGTTTAGATAAATCTTAATCCCTAGCTTAATATAATTTCATATACATAAACAAATTTGCAAGTGAATCAGATTTCTTATGTGGAATAACCTGAAAAAGAAAATGAAAAATAAATATATATATTTTTTATTTATCTTGAAAGTAAACATAATCACAAGTAAATGATCTTTATAAATATCTATATTAAAATAATAATAATGCTTTCTTTTAAAAATAAACGAATTATATAATGTATTCAAAATTCGGTGATATTTTACCACCCATTCAAAATTCAGGAACCAATTATCAAAAGCCTTGAAACTCGTGCATTAAAGATAAGATGCATCCTTTAACTTCCCTGTTACCTATCTGTAACCTACAAATAAGTTCCGCGCTTCTGTAATTCTGGTAAATACAGGTAAGTTA